GGCAGAGGAGGCCTAAACAGAGGCAATATTAGTTAAAAGTTCTGTAAAGTAATTGAAGCTGTGTATACAGACTGTCAGATTGGCTATTGTTGCTTTAGTTTAATGATTACAGCGCTAAAAGCAGCATTTTGTACGTAGATTGATGTGTGCACATTTCACTGTCTTTATTAATAAAATTAAACAAACTGTCCAATGATTATGGCTTCTTTCTTTCCACTCCTGTTACACATCTTCTTTTGGACACTTATACCAGTCATTGGATACTGTCTGCCCAGTCTGAGCGGTAACTGATCTTGCTATTCTGCTGGCCACATCCACATTATAGTATTGATCTGCAGTAAGAGAAATGCAGTTGGAGTAGAAATTAGAATTACTGGTACAGGAAGTCTAGTATATGAAAAGTTCTCTGATTAATGAGCTGAGTTAACATCAGATGCCACTTTCCCTCTTCCTTGTCCTTTTGGCATTATATCACATGTAGTTGAGAGAGATGCTTTAATACCTGTTTCCCGACAAAGTATTTCGTTTTGACATTTTCTTTTTTTAGTCACAATTATCAGTCTTGGCCGGCTATGACTGTTTTATTGGTTAGCAACCTGAAAAACTGCTACTTAGTCCCATTGGTCTCCCCTTTTTATAGAGTAGTTTCTTCTTTAAAAAAATTGGCAACTTTGTCAGTCTTTTGGCATATACTAATCTCAAGCTTTCATACTTTTTAGTGTTATACTGTGAGATATGATCTTTTCTGAAACCCAAACACAGCTCATTTAAATACACCCATAAATCCCAGAAGAAATTCTTTATATTCAGTTGTAAAATTAAGTGCACTTGAACAGATAAGTGGCTTAAAAAAACCTGAGCAACCCTCAGCCAAAGCCTTGAGAATTAAAGGAAGAATGTTTGTTATCTTTGCTATCTCATGCTCATTTGTATTCTGTCCTACCACTTCTGTGAAAGGGCTAAAGTTGTGCACTTTTATTCTAAGAAAAGGCACCTTATTTCCCATGTAGGCATTCTCACCTACTTCATAGGCATGATAGGAATTATGCTGGACCAGATCAGTGGTGGTCCTAATCTAATATCTAATACTTCGGAGAAAAGTATCTAAAAATCCTTCAGTATCCAGTTATGGGATGCTGCCCAGAGGGAAAGTTTCTCCTGACCCGCATTAGAAGTTGATTTATGCCCTTATGCACAGGGGTTTATATGCAGAACTGTTTGAGTGATGTCCTGACTTGACTGAAGTCAGCAGCAAAACTACTACAGTAGAGTCCGGATTATCTGACCTTCACTTATCCCACCTTCCGGGTTATCCGACATAGCCATTCGACGTGCTATTTACGCGTCCGTGCGTCACATGCCGCCGTGGCTGTAGCTTCATTTGTTCCTCTGCACCAGTGATTTATGTTTGTGCTGTGATTGTGTTTCATTTTTCCAATTGCATGTTCTCCTTACTGTAATATTTTATTGTTTGAGTAACATGGCATGTGAAAAGAGGAAAAAAACTGGTTCTTTCCATTGAACAAAAACTTGAAGTGTTAAAAAGAATAGACAAAGGCGAGTCCATGCTAAAAATTGCATCTGAACTCGGTGTGGGGCGAGTTACAGTTGGTGACTGGAAAAGGAAAAGAAGTGAGTTAGAAAATTGGTGCTCTGATTGACCCTCAAGTGCAGGACTGAAGGACAGAAAAAACAATGAAAAAATGTGAATATGAAAAAGTGAGTGAAGCTTTGTTCTTATGGTTCACACAGCAAAGGGATAAGGCATGCCTATCACAGGCCCGATTCTGCAAGAGAAAGCTCTGAGTTTCCAAAAGGAATTTAATGAAGGGGAACCTGATTTCATGGCTAGTGTAGGCTGGCTTGATTGCTGGAAAAAAAGATACAGGTTAAGGCCGGTAAGTATATGTAGCAAAAAATTATCGGCAAATCAGGAAGGGTTTCTGAAATGTAAAGCAAATTTTCATTGTCTCATCGAAAATGAAGGATTATCGGGTGAGCAGATACATAACTGCGATAAGACAGGCTTAAACTATAAAATGCTGCTTTCAAAAACTCTATCTTCCTGGGCTGAAGCTTCGGCTCCTGGGTATAAACCAAGTAAAGAAAGAGTGACGATTCTAGCCTGTATTAATGCTACTGGTAACCACAAACTAAGACTCACATTTATTGGAAAGGTAAAAAAAACACAGGCTTTCAAAAACATAGCACCTACTGCTCTACCAGTTTCGTACAAGAATCAGAGGAATGCATGGATGGATTCAGCAATTTTCCAAGGCTGGTTTTTCAATGAATTTCTTCCTTCAGTAGAACAATTTTTGAATTCACTAAATCTACCAAGGAAAGCAATCCTTGTCATTGATAATGCGCCATCTCATCCTCATGAGGATGAACTGTTCAGTAGGGACATTAGAGTGATTTTTCTTCCTCCTAATATCACGTCATTGTGTCAGCCTATGGACCAGGGTGTGCTTGAAGCGTTAAAGAAAAAATATTGTCGTAAGCTTTTAGCTACGCTCATTGAGGCGATAGACGATGGAAATGGTATGCTAGATAAGCTAAGGACAGTGAACATAAAAGATGCTATTTATTGGAACACACAATCATGGGAAGAAATTGAACCGCAAACTCTGGCAAGATCATGGAGAAAGTTACTCTCTGAAGACGAAAACACACAAATGGTGCAAGAAAATTGTGATAACCTGCTACCTTTGTTACAACAAATTCCAGGCTGTGAAAAGGTGGATGATGATGATGATATACAGGAATGGATGGAGAAAGATGAGCAACAAGAACTGACTGACTGCGACATAATAACTCTGGTGAATTGGGATGACAATGAAGATGATGAAGATACAAATGACAATGACAAAACGGAGAGAATTAGTCATAGTGAAGGGGTCAAGGCTCTCGAGACGGCACTGGCTTACGTTGAACAACAAGGGGAGGCAACTGCTAGTGATGTTATGTTATTGAGACGCTGGCGCAACCTCGCCACAAGGAAGAGGAACAAAGCTGAGAAACAAACTTCAATCACTAATTTTTTTAAACAATAACTTTAGCGTTTTGCCATACTGCATACTAAATGTTCTTTATTCTATTATGTTACTTGTTCTGTAGAACAATAAGTAATAAACCTGATTTCATACCAGTTTCCGTTTTATCCGATATTTTCGGTAGTCCGACCACCCCCCGGTCCCGTTTAGGTCAGATAATCAGGACTCTATTGTACCAATTCAGTGGTGTGAGGATTTCATTCTTTAATGATTAGTCATTACAGTGATGACTCCAGATAAGATTTAAAAGGTTTAGATATGTATAAGATAACAAGACTGCCCGACAACTAGTGACACTGGCTAGCTATTTCGCTGATTATTTTAAGTAGAAACATTCATTTATTCAGAGTCTAAGGATCAAGCTTGAGTTATTGCCATTTCTTTTCAGCCTGAACCCTAGCACTCATTAAACTTACCTTGGCAATTCTTTTGTAGTAGAAAGGGTAGGTAACTTTACATTTTAGAAGCCCATACTTGCCTTTGAGATTTAATGTGTTTTAGGTTTAACTTACCTTTAGAGAAAACATAGTAATCATAGCCATCTGGCCTTTGGTAGTTAGGTATTGATATAGCTGAGCGAACTACCTTTGGAAATCCTCTCCAGTAAGAATTTATTTTAACCTCATGATGTAATATTCCTGCAGACAAGAAAATTGCTTTGTTAGGAAAATATATTAAAACATGACCCGTACAAAGTTATAACCTGGGAAGAGAAACAGAGAACAGCTACAAGGTTGAAGAGATGTAAAATCATACAAGGTGAACAGATGACAAATGCTGTCCTTCAGAAACTATTACTTTTAAAATAAATATAAATAACATTAAATATAACAGACCTGATGGATTATGGTGGAGTCTGATCGTGTGGGACATGACAGGTGTGTGGTACACAACTGCTGATCTTATTGCACGTTCAAAGCGTCTCCTCTTGATCACTGCTCTGGGTGTATAAGCTGGGTACCTAACATATACTTTCTTTTTGCACTTCTTAGCGGGTTCTTGATTGTAGACATAGTGTTGAATATTGCCACCTGAAGGAGAAGTTTGTTCCAGTTATAAAAATAATTGAAGCAGAAATGTTGTCAGCAATATGAACCTGAAAGGCTGGAAAGACAAGAACAACTCAACATCTTTTAAAATGTGTTCAAATGCTATTGAAGAAACTTCCAGCTTTAAGTGTAAAAAAACTACATATATAACTTGGAAGTATGATGGTAACAGTACCTGCTGAAAGTGATCAATTCTCTTGGGGAAAAATGGTGAAATTGTAAGGCACTAGCCTGATGCTGCAGGCTTTTTGTTTGCATAATTCCCTTTCCTTGAGGGAATGCTACCAAGGGAAAAGACTACAGCAGTGGTCCCCAACCTTTTGGGGCTGCCGGGCGCCCAGGGTAGGGGCCGCGCATGCGCCTAACGCCCTGGGCTGGCACTGGCATGTGCCGCGCGCCCAGGGGTGGGGCCGGCCTAGGTTGTTCAGCGGGTGCACATAAATGTCCTGGCGGGCGCCATGGCACCACATTGGGGACCACTGGACTATACGATTAGATCAATGTTATTGCCTAGCTGTTTTAATCTGAATAGCTCCTTCAAATGTTCCTGTGTAGAGACTATACCATTCAAATAAGATGATGATATGGCTAAATCTACACTTTCTAAGAAAAGAACCATAACTGAGAAACTGCTCCATACATAGCTGTGGGGTGATTGGTTTATTTCCGTAACGGTGCCTTGTTAACTTGTGATTGGAATAGTGTCCAAAAGACATTAAAACCCTTCTTTATAACCCTATCCTGAAAAGTATGTAAATTTCCATGATCACTTTGGCATTCAAAAGTTGTCTTCAAAGCCTCAGGTTAGCTCAGGCTCTTGTTGTACTAGGTATTGGTGACATCATTTATCCGTTGCCAGACATGCAGTCTTATTTGGAAATGAAGCTGAGCTTTATTACAAACAGAAATAAGCTAAATACCTCTAACATTTGTAGGCACCTTAGTTATGAAACATACCTCTTTTGAAAAAATACACAGATTCTGGCCTGTTCCTGTGTTGTGCTACTGAAAGAACTGCTACTATTTTCCCATTTAGTCCTGCAAATCCTTTTGCAATCTGTTTGGGATATCCCATATCCTTTACATCATTAGTGAAACGCCAGTATTGGGAACCCTGAGGATGTAAACAGAAGATTTTACTTAGAGGGAAAAAAATGGTCACAGCTGAGAGGCTACAATATTGACTAGACAAGTGATTATGAAATCCACATCTAATTAATGTACATTTTAAAACTGTCCCAAATAATTACTGATGTATCCCTCAATCATAAAAATGACTTCAGCTTATGTTGGAAAGATTATTCTGCAGGCTTCTTAAACATTTATTAGCATACTAACTTTTTCACCTACCCACAGCCACTTTACTTTTGCAATATCCTGAGGTAGGGGGAACTCAAGTGCTGGGTTTTTGATACTCACAATCATTCCACCATTTGTTTCTAAGGACAGCATATTTCAGCCTCATTTGGTAGGCTGAAAATTGCTTATAGAGTCTTAGTAAATATTTATACTACAGTTGGGTATAAAGGCTCCAATCAAGAGTAAAACCTTATTGGACCGGATATTGTACAGACACAGAAAAAAATGACTTTTGCTTCCCTGAAGGAATTACATACTAACGTCACAAAAGATTGGGGATAACATAAAAGCATATGAATATGGTGAAAAATTAGCTTTGTTGGGTTTATGTAATACATTTTTTATTATATAATGAAGGAAGAAGAGTGCATTTAAGAACTTTCAGGGATCCCAAAAAGCTTGAGATAGAAGGGGGGGGGGGAAAGGGGTAGAACCAGCATTGACTTCCCAACAGTGAGCCCAAGAATATTAAACAGAAACTTTGCACAATTGGTTTTTGCTCTTTCATGCAGCACTTTCCAGCCAAATAAAGAGTGAATGTGTAACAATGAATAAGGACTTCATGCTTAACTCAGTATTTTAAATTACTCCACTTAAGGAAACAAATTCACCAATTGTTAGCATTCCTGTGATTATTAGTGTACGAAAACAGGCTGTGCATTTCCAAAAGGGCACTGGTGGCTGCCAACTGTGCCAGATAAATTATACCTATGGTAAAGCATGTGAAGGCTGGGGAGTTCCTGGAGCCATTAACATTTTTCCTGCTATACTATTTATGTCCCCCCTCTTCTGACTTATATGGTGCATGGAGCAAGAGATAATTTAACTTTTCCAACCTAAGTCCTCTTTTCAGGTCCTAAGTCTGGACATTAAGGTCTTAAGGGTGAAAGCAGAAATGTAGCAATAATTAGACAGATGTTCTGCTTTCTCCTCCAACGATGTATTCCCAGCTGTGGACTTGGTAAAGGGATAAGAAAATAAATGCAACCCAATAATATAAATGTCTAAATCAATAGTATCTAGTGGGCAACTACAAAATTGTTATTGCAGGTTTCCAGAGCATGCACTTGTATGCTTGACGTACAATAGTTAGGCTTTATTTTATATAGATTTTGTTTCATATGCTTTGCTTTATAGTAGCTGCTTGGTATTGAAATATATTCTGTATTGGGTATTATAAGTTAGTAATAAATTGTTTATAGGTATTATAAGAGTAAGACATTGTTTAAAATTGTGTCTCTAATACTGTAACTAAGAAATCCTGAAGGGCGAAGACTTATTCTCTGGTTCCTCTGCGTGAAGTAGAAATAGAATTCTGGAAACACCTAGTGGTGTCTTCAGAGTCAGCCAGAGCAGCTGTTTACAATGTTCCCTCTAATTTTTTCCATCCCTGCGCAGAATAAATTTTGCATATTCCTTTGTAAGAGAAATTGCTTTGTTGAGTGAGGAATGTGGGGAGACTCCAGTACCAGATGGTCAGAATGGTTGAGGAGGTGTGAACTCGGGTGTCCATCAAATTCAGGATGGCCAAAGAGGGGCAGACTTGACAACTCTAAAGCAAGGGCATACACCTGTGAATGAGATCTGTGAACAAGATAAACCATCTGCAGCCACTCCCAGGACATTCACCAATGTACTGATGGAGCATGACAATGGAAGCAGCCTTGAGGTAAAATTAGATGGCTTCACCGTGACATTGCAAAAACCCATAGACTAAAGTGGGGGGAGATGAAGTCATGAAGCTTTGGGTTAGCTCTGCGAAAACAACTTCCAGGCATCGGACTGCATCTGACAGAACCCGGCTCCTTCCCGGGCCCAGGCTAATTGGCCAGTAGGTTGGCACGAGCACCCATAAAACTGGTAATTATGACACCAGTTGCAGGACTCTGTGTGCACACATGCATATACTGATTTCTATGCTGCATTTGCAATAAACATGGTGTATTTCCTTTTCCCTCTGAAAAATATCCTGTGTGCCTCTTCTAAAGTTAACACTCTAATGCCTGGGCCATCCAAGCCAGCAGTATGCAAAATTCAAGCTTCTGTATCAAAGTTTTAAAATACAGTCAGTTTTTAAAATACAGCATTATTTTCACAAGAATGGACTCCAGCACCTATGGACATGCATGTCCCTTTGTGAGTCTTTAGCAACCTAGACAATTAGATAAGTGTTTGTCAGCTGAACTCATGGATCTATTTCCTACTTATAACCTTCTTCCATACAGCCCCTCATTTTTTTTTTTAGGTTTGCAGGCACCCTTGAAATTAAATCCTTTACATGCTCAAACTAAGCAAGATAACTTCCCTACCTTAAAGAAGAAGGTTTTGCCATCGCAGTTGCATCTGGAAAAGACTGTATCAATGGGGGATGGAATACCCCACCCCTCAGTGATTTTGCGAGGGGATACTGTTGGTTGCTTAGCTGAATCCAGCAGCCAGTAGTAATGACCTGCAAAATAAAAAGTAGAGCTAGCCCTGAAAAACCTCAGTAAAGTGCACCATTTTGCTCCTACTTAAATTTTTGTTTTTGAAAAATGTAGTAGTACAGAAAATGCCAAATCTAAAAATTCCAAACAGTACCACCCTTTGAACTGGCACAACGGGCTCTCTAGATCAGTGTTTCTCAACCAGTGGTATGAATACACTCAGGGGTACTCGAGAGAAGTCGGGGGGTACATCAACACAACTGAAATTTGAAGAAAACTGAATTTTTGTTTTAAGTTTTACAGAGCTTCATTATTTTTGTACTTTTTATGCCCAAAAATTTGATTGCCCACCCGGCTACAATTAAATTGTTTAAACAAATGTGTAGGAAAAAAAATGTGTGTGTCTGAAAACTGTAGGTACTGGGAGTACTTTATAAAAAAAGGTTGAGAAACACTGCTCCAAAGTACTCACTGCTGCAAGGCTGAGTGCCCAGGGCAGCCCAACCTCATCACAGGCCCCACCTCTGGTTCACGCCTTCCCGCTGGCCCTGTCCCCACTTCACCCTGCTTCTACCCCACCCTCCTTAACCAAAGCCCCTTTCCTCCAGGCATTGCAGTCAGGGGATTACCAGGCAGCATGGCATGGGACTACAGCAGGGGTTGGCCTCCCTCCTGATAGAGAAACCCGACTGCCTGTTCCCTCTTCTAGGCTGCTGCACTTAGCTTTCCCTCAGCATTGGTGCACGTTGGGACCAGGGCTCTCTGCTTCCTGCTGCCACCGTGAAGTGGAGTACAGTGGGCTGGGAGAGGGCGGTACGGTGGGGTGGGGCAGTGCAGAGCAAGCTGCTGGGTTGCACTGGTTTAGGGATATAATAGTGTAGTCAATTAACCGATTATCTGATAAGCAAAAGCTTATAGGTTAGTGCTATAGATTACACACATTTCCTTTCCTACCCTCCCCCGTCCTGGACAGGGTCTGCTGCCACCCTGCACTGCTCCCTCTGTTTCAGAGGCAGCAGCACAAGGCAACAGGCAGCCCATCTGCGAAGGGAGCTGGTTTTTAAACTGGCTTTCTTTGTCGACCAGCTACCATCTGGCACCCCGCGTGAACTAGCAAGGGACTCCTTGGGAGTGGGGCCAGAGTCTACCGGCTGCCAGCCCTGCCCCCGAGGACAATAGAAGAGTCGATTAATCAATCAAAATTCATGAGGTTATATGACTATTTAATTAACTGATATTTAATATTTCCACTCTGGCTCCCACCATTGCAGTAAGTAATCCCCAGGCCATCCTGGGCCCTCTCCATAGGACAGTTAAGGTGGCTGCATGGGCCCCCCAAAGCACCAGGCTTGAAGCAGCCATTCCAAACCATCCTATGGGTCGGAAAATGCAATAGAGGTGGCTCAGCACCTAGCAGGATCCATGTCATTGCAGAAGCACTTGCTGGGTCCATGTCATTGGAGCCAGAAGCACTTGCTGGAAAAGTAATATTCATCAAGATGGGCGGGGGCCCCAGAAAATCTGCCTAACCATTAGTGGCTGAGAGTAGCAAAGCTAGGACAGAAAAGAGGAGGAAGAGTTTGACTGACTTGTATATGGAAGCTGTTCCTTGCCCCTAATCATTTATGTTGCCCTTTTCTGGACCAATATATATCAGATCTGCATGCAGTATTCAAGATGTGGATCTACCATGACCTTATATAGAGGCAATATAATATTTCTGCTTTATTAATTATCTCAAAGAATCATTTAGCTTTTTAGACAGCCATTGCACATTGAGCAGGTCTTTTTAGGGAACTATCCACAATGATCCAAAAATCTCTTTCTAGAGCGGTAACAGCTATTTTAGACCCCTATCATTTTGTACCTGTAGTTGGAATTCTATTTTTCTATGTGCATTACTTGGCATTTATTTCATCAGCGATTGTGTTTCCCAATTACCCACTTTTATGAGATCCCTTTGTAATTCTTTGCAGTCATCTTTGGAATTAACTGTTTTGCATCATTTTGTATTTGCAAGTTTTGCTACCTCACTGTTTATCTCTTTTTCAAGACTTATTTATGAATAAGTTGAACAGCACTGGTCTGAATGACCCCTTGGAGCCCATCACTATTTAGTCCTACCCTTTTTGTCCTGTCTTTTAAATGGAGCAGCTGGCAATGTTTTCACGATCCTCTAATGATCCTTCAATTACTTGAATGACAAGCCTAGTGTTATCTTAATCACCTTGCCTCCTTCTTGCTGGGCACCGCTGTTGCTTTTTTGCGGAAGAGGATAGCAAATCGCACTCGCATTTGCATAGCTTCTTCTGATTCTTTTTGCGGAAGAGGTTTTTTCGATAAAAAGCCCCATATAGACGGGGCCATTTGTCAGAAAAAAACTCTCTTTCGCAAGACCCTGTAAACCTCTATTTACGAGGAATAAAGGGGCCTTGCGAAGGAGGGGGGTTTCCATCTAAATAGAGCTTTTTATCAGAAAAACCTCTTCCGCAAAAAGAATTAGAAGATATGCAAATGCAAGTGTGATTTGCATATCCTCTTCTTTGCAAAAAAACAAACAGTGTAGCCATAGCCTCTGCCTATAAAACTCTCTGCCCCAAAGGAAAAGCTGGGAGCAGTACAAACTGTGTTGCAATTAAGAGCTGTCTCTGGGGATAGAGCATGCGCTTTAAGCAGATCTCAAATATGAAATTCAGGGTTTCAAACATCAAAAGTCCTTCCCCCATCCCCTTCCCCTAAAGATGTTAAGAGGCAGGTAATTGACTAAACGTGGAGTCAACACAATTTGTAAAAAAAAATAAAATAAAATAATAGATTACTCACCTCGAAATACAGCTAATGTTCCATTTGGTAAAGCAACAATTCCATCTGCTGGCTTTCCATTACACAAATTATTATCATCTTGTTCACCTGGGTCAAAATAATTAGTGTATATTTTTATGTAAATGAAATTGAAGCTCAAAGAACAGTTTGAAATGCCAGAGGATTGTCAAGTAAAATAAACCTCTTACTAATGGAACATAGTCTTTTAATATAATTATTTATTAGAGTGTGCATAAGGAAATCTGTATTGCATATTGATCAACTTATTAAACTATAAAAGAAGGCATAAACATAAAACTTTCAGTAAGAATGCTGCATAGAAGCACCATTCCTTCTTTATGTTTGAGAATATTCTGGATCCAGGGTTCTAATTCCTATATCTAATACTTACACTACAAATAAGAGAACTTAAGATTTTTAAAAAATCTCTTCTGTTTTGTTTGTTCTCTCTGCTCTGGGTAAGCTGGGATAAGAAACAGAAAAACTGCAGGAAATTTTCAATCTTGCCTCAAACCAAAAAGTTCTGAAAATATTTTCCTTTTTGTCTCATTCACACAGAGCAGATATAGATTTAGCATTTTATTCATTTGAGATAGGATCACCAAAGTCTGAATCTTGATATTTGTGACCGAAGAATGTCAAGTCTGGTATTTTTATAGCAATCCATAGTTTTCTTTCGTTAATATTTTGAGTACCTGCATTTCAGAAAAACATCCTGCATTGTATAGCTGACCTGTTCCAAACAGGCCTGCTAACAGAGAGGTGCCAATGGGACAGTTGCACCGGGGCCCAGGGCTCCAGGTTGCAATAGCAGTGATGGCCAGAGCCCCAGGCTCCTATGACTTGCTTCCAGAACGCTTTATGCTTCTCTGAGGGCTGGCGGGGGCACACCACACTCTGACGGCGATGAGGGTTGGCTGCCTCAGCCCTCCCCTTCTGTTTGAGGTCTTGTCCCTTCCAGGAGCACAGAGCAGTCCTCTTCCCTCCCCCCCCCCCCCCCCGGTCCCCCCCTCCCCCCCCCCCCCCCCCCCGACATACCTTGCCCAGAGGCCCATGGAGGCTGCTAGCTCCCCTGGACCCAAAGCAAGAAGTCCTGAAAATATTTGTATTTTGTCTCATTCACAGAGATATAGATTTATGCTCAGATCCTCAAATGTTTTCAGGCACCTACCTCTCATTGATTTCAACAGTCTATTGGTTTGCATCTCATGCTGTCCCTCACACCACATAGTGGATGCAAAACCACATCAGCATTCTCCACTCATAAGTGTGAATTGAACAGACATCGTGTAGTGTTTCCTGGAGCTCTTTTTTCATAAGGATAAGTATATAGCTGGAGCTCAAGTTTCATAATGATAAAAAATGGGTGACTACTCTACCCTAGTAATTGGATTTAAACAATACTTAGGTCTATTGGTGCCTAACTGTAGCAAACTATGCACAAATGTGAATTTAGAAAACTGATTCGGGAAAATGATAGGGATTAAATTTAATTAAACTATAATGGATAATGAGGACAAAGAGCAGCATTGCAGCTGGATGGAGCCAGGGGAGAGGTTTTCTTGTTTTTCATTGTGGGTATCAGTACAAAATAGCTGTCAAATTAGGTCACGTGACTAATAGTTGAACTCTAATAAATACTGGAATACTTTCATCAGACTTGGAAATCTCTCTCTAGCTTTATTCTTTGGCCCTGTTTTGATTCCTATGTTCCCTGGTACTTGCACTCAATGTTCCCAGTGATCCCTTCAGAAATATATGGCTCCTAAAATGGTGACATGGTTTGGCTGTCTAAGAAATTTAGTTTGTTCATTGCTATAAACATAAATGTTACAATTATAAAGAAAGATACCTTTGTAAAAGAACGTTGTGTTGATCGTCTTTTGTAGTGTGGAGTTTGCCTGGATAGTGGGAGTTCTTTCTGGCGCGTTAGTTGAGTAAGATATTGAATATGTTTTAGTAGGGAAATGTGGGTCTTCTTTTCTCTCTTCAGGCCTTGTGGTTCTGAATCCATTTGCCAAGGTGGAGGTATAATGCATATCCTTCACAGCTGCAGAGATTGAAGTCCCTATTGTATGTTTTACTGAAGTATTTGTGTTCATAGCAATTTGGTTTTCCTTGGTAATTGCTTTATCTGAAACAAGATCAGTGCTGTTACTAGTTGTAATCCCATGTGATGTAGTTTCTTGTTTCTGAGAAATAGCCGAATTAGATTTTGTTGTTGTCTGTGTTATTTTTGTAATGGTTTCCAACCAGTTATACTCATTATTGCCATTAGGATTAAGTGTACCTTTCAGTGGAGCAATACATGTTGTGAATGAGATTGCTAGGGAGTCTATGGAGTCCTCTTGTTTAGGAGAGGTAGGATTTTGGTTTGGTTCTTTAGGGTTTTCTGTGTTTCTGCCAGGGAAATTACTGTCTGCCACAGTCATTGGGTCCATTGGAGTGGGGCTTGAATTATCTCTATGATTCTCCTGCTCAGAAGGGACTGAGTTTGCTGCTGGTTTCTGAGTCAAAGAAGGGCTGATGATGATCTTGGAAGTTTGTAATCTGTCAGTTGGAGACTGCTCTGTATTTTTCTGGGTAGCAGTATCTCTAGTGTATGCATTTTCAGAGATGTCTTTGGTTTCAGTAGTCCCCTTGGAAATGGAAGTTGTTACAGATCTTTTAGTAACAGTAGAGGTTTCTTTTGTGGTTTCAAAATGGACTTTTGTTTTCATAAAGTCTTTTGGGTTAGAGGTAGTAAGGTTTATTGGTGCAGTAGCAGTAATTTCAATCGCAGGGTTAGCTTTTTTTTCAGGTTCAATGGAAGGTTTGGCAGTGGCTTTTACTGGTGGGATTTGTGTGACAGTGGTACCAAGTCCATCTTGTGTTGGTGACACAGGTCTTTCCTGGGAGTCTTTAGCTATAGTGGACACTTCTTCAGAGACAGTCAGTGTTTCTTTAGTGACAGTACTTTCAGGTGTTTCCTTTTTATCTGTTGTGGTTACCTCTTTGTCATCAGAGGCTTTTTCCGTAGTTGTCCCTTTGATAACCGCAGTCAGTTCTTTTTTCGCTTCAGTTGTTTGTTTGGTGGCCGTAGTTTTCTGTCTGTTATCTTCAGTTTCTTCTTTGTCTGCAGTAGTCAAGTCAGTAGCCACAGCTGTTATTTCAGCAGCAGTAGGTGTCTGTTTAGTGGCAGTTTGTGTCTTTTTAGTTGCTGTAGTTGTGTCCAGTTTAGCTGTTGTCATTATAGATTCTTTAGCTGCAGTAGCTGTTACTTTGGTTGTTACAATCTCTCTATAGGCAAAAGTTGTGTCTTTTCCTGTTGTGTCTTTTTCACCTGTTGTCATTATATTGACTTCAGCTATAGTAGTTGTGTCTTTTGTATCTATTGTCATTACACTCTCTTTGTCCACAGTGCTTGTGTCTTTTTTACCTGTGGTGGCTAGAGTGTCTTTAGTGTCTATAGTTGTGTCTGTTCTAGGTGATCTTGTGACAGTCTCCCTAGCTGCTGCAGTTGTGGCTGTGTTAGGGGAAGATTCAATCTCTCTATATGCAGCAGTTGTGTCTTTTTTAGGCATTAAGCTTTTTTCATATGGACTTGGTCTAATCTCTTCACCTGCAGTAGATGCATCTTTTTTAGTTGCTGATGTTACAGTGTCTTTAGCTGAACCAGTTGTGACTGTTTTAGTTGTTGTTGCAGTCTCTCTTTTTGCAGTAATTGTCTTTTTTGCATCTTTTGTGTCTCTTTCATCTGTAGACATCATAGTCTCTGTAGCCACAGTTGTGTCTTTTTTATCTGTGGTTGATTTGTCTTTTTCACCTGTTGGCATGTTTTCTTTGTTCACAATAGTTATATCTCTTTTACGTGCAGTTGGTTCAGTGTCTTTAATTTCTGCAGTTGTGCTTGTTCTTGGTGCCCTTGTTACAGTCTTCCTAGCTGCAGTAGTTGTGTGTTTTTTAGTTAAGTCTTTTTCATCTAGAGTTATAACTTCATCACTTACTGTGGTTGTCTCTCTTTCATTTGTCAAGTCAGTAGCCACAGTTGTTACTTCAGCAGCAGTAGGTGTCTTTTTAGTTGCTGTAGTTGTGTCTAGTTTAGCTGTTGTCATTATAGATTCTTTAGCTGTAGTAGCTAGTACTTTGGTTGTTACCTTTTCTTTGTCTACAATAGTTGTATCTTTTCTTCCTGTTGTTGTTACAGTGTCTTTAATTTCTGTAGTTGTGTCTGTTCTAGGTGCTCTTGTTACAGTGTTCTTAGCTGCAGTAGTTGTACCTTTTTCACTCATTACGTCTTTTTCATCCGGACTGAATATAATATCATTTACTGTGGTTGTGTCTTTCTTAGCTATTGTGGTAGCGTCTTTTTTTGCTGTTGTTTTTACAGTGTCTTTAGCTGCAGCTGTCGTGACTGGTTTTGCTGTTGTTACAGTCTGACTTTCAGTAATAGCTGTTACTGTTTTATCTGTTTGGGCTATTGTTTCTTTATCTATTGTAGTTGTTACAATACTTGTGTTTTTCTTAGCTATGGTTGCCCCTTTAGTGGTAGTAGGTGTGGCATTTTTCATAGATGTAGTACTTTTGTCTTTAGCTTTGGTGACATGAGCTGCATTAGTTAATGCTGAGATCTTAGTTGTACTTGTTGTAGTAGTAGGTGGCATGCTGGTCTTTGGAGTTAATATCTTTGTAGTATTCATTTTGATTGTCATAGTAGTTTTATGTGGTTGGGAGGCAGGGGTCTCTCTAAAATTTTCTTCTGACAAAGGAGCTGCTGTTGTAGCTTTATTTCCTTCTCTTAAAATTTTTCTGTTGGGGTGCTTTGTAGTAGGAGCAGGCCTGGTGCCCGCATTTTCCAATCCACTGCCAATCTCCTCAGAAATTTCTCTTATTTTATCAGCTGTAGTTCTTCTGTTTTTTGAGTCTTTCTCTACAAGAAGCACATATCAAGTTAAAGCGCCATTTTTTAATTTTCTCATAGTTCTGCAGCATTCCAGCATTTGCTCTTCTGGATTTGACACTCATGGCTTTTTTGTAAACACAGCTGGCAACAGTTGTAACTCTTGTAAATTATAGCAATATCTCTTTCACTTTTTTTCTGTAAAGTTGCACTGTTTTAACTTAAATCGATTTAGAAACCTTTGTGAATACAGGTTGAACCTCTCTAGTTCAACACCCTAAGGATCTGACTGGTGCTGAACCAGAGAATTTGCCACACACGAGAGGTCAATATTGTCTAATATTACTAATGCTGCCACTGCTTCTTGGCCTTTTAGAAGACATTTAGGGATAGATTAGAGCTAAATAACAGCACACAACTCTGAGTCAGGACTGGTGGCTGTAAACAAATGTTATGAGACAGCGGGAAACTTGGCCACACCCATGATTAGTGGACACCTGGCTAACTAAAATCATGCCAGATCACAGATGATTCTGGACCAGAGAGTGCCAGACTAGAGAAGTTCAACCTGTACCTTAATTCAATTTAAACCTAGTTTTTATCAGGTTAGCTTAATTCATCAAGAGATAAGGACTTGAGTTAAGCTAACCTGATAAAAGACAAGTTTAAATTGTGTTTAACTGTGACTGTCCATGCAAGATTTTACATTGGTTTAATTAAGTTGGTTTAAAATCACACCTTTAGTTAAATAAGTGCACCCTTGAAAATGGGAAAGCCTGTTATTTTTATAATCATATTCTTATGCCACCTGTAATCATTGTGACATGTGGTGGTGCACTGTGTTGTGACTTTTCCAATGTCAGTTGTTTCTCTAATAACAAACTGTGTGAGGAAATGGGAAGTCTTTGGAGACAGGTTAGATTTTATTACCTTTTCTAGTTGTTAAATACACAGATTGTAAATGTTAAATGGTGCTGGGCTGGAAAAAGGATGTGTGCTAGGAAATACCCCACCTCCTGGCCTTGGGGAAGACGGGTGTTAATGACATTTTAATATAAAAGTCTCAGAAGGGTATCTGTGTTAGTCTGTACCTGCAAAAAAGAAAAGAAAAAAAACAAATTCTAAGGTGCCACAGGACTCCTTGTAGTTTTTGTAATATAAAAGTGAACAGAGTCTAAAGGATCCACCTTTAGATTTGGGCCAAAAATGCTCTCACACTAGGCCAAGCAATTCTGAGAGCAACACCATGTTCGCAATTCTATCCTGTGTGTATCTGCAGTCAACCCTCCTACCCAACAAAGCCACTCACATCCTTCTTTAGAAAAGAGATTTCAGTGTGCCAAGCTATCTAATCTCCTGCCTACCTAAGTTCTACACGATTACCTGAGCCTGCCTAGTGACTTATTACGCAGGGGATTCTCAAAAATAGTTAGTTGACTCTGGTTACAGTATAGTTCTGGTAGGCCTTTTTTCTTGCTTCATCTGCTTTACTATATATGAAGGAGATTGTTTTTCATTTTAAAAAAAGGAATAGGGCTATTGGTGCACTTAAGATCTGAAAAGGGAGAGATACTGCATTGGCTAAAGGAGGACTTCTTTATGCTTCTTAGGACATTTTGATTCTTCCATGGAAATATATCAATTTTGGTCTTTTTCTGTGTCAACTTTAATGGTGGCTCTACTCTGAAAAGAGACCCTGTAAAAATGCCAACATGGGGTTATATGTTTATTGTCACTTAGTGAGTTCTGTATTGAATGTTCCAAACTTACAAGTAAAACTAGGTATGTTGGAATCTCTGGCAAACTGTCCTTATTTGGTAAACTGCAAATGAGCCTGTGCATGGCCCTAATAACCTCAGTGGAGTCACATGTGAGCTTAATGGTCTGTCCATGCAGAATAGCTTACAAGCTCAAGACTTTTAAAGCATTTAATCAGATGTGAAACAGAAAATATTAAAAAAGAGGATTGTTTGCAGTAAATCCTTAAAAATTCTTTCTACATAGAAAGACAAGCATGCTTCTATTATATTGCTACTTATACTGTTTACATTTGATTTCTGCATTAGGCTGTTTGATCACAATCCATACCTTTCATCAAAATGCAGGACAATGCAGCACTTTGCATTTTGCTTCAGCTACCCCAGACTAACACGGCTACATTTCTATCACATACCTTTCATGGCATCCTTCGCTTTTCTATTATTTTTGTTTTTAATGTCCTTTGTTTGGCCATTTTCATTGGGATTTTTTGACGAAGCCTTTGTCTTCCGAATGGTTGTGGTCGACAATGAAGAAGACGATGAGGAAGATGATTTCTGTTTCTCAGATTCTGAATGTTCTGTAGCCAAGTAAAACAATTGGTGAAAATGGGAAGCCATGTAAAACACGTTGTAGAAGAAGCTAATACTCAGTTTACAAGAAAATTGTTCTCAAAAGATAAAGGTTTGGAGTGTTGAAGATGGGAAGTATTTGAAATGGCTTGCCTCCTGAGCCAGCAATGAATGGAAGCAACACCCAGAAGGAGGTAGCAAATGTTATGGTCATATTCCTGAAAACTTGAGCCCTTCGCAGCCTCATTTAATACAGGCAGTCCCCGAATTACGCGGATCCAACTTACGTCGGATCTGCAGTAACGAACAGGGATTTTTCTCGCCCCGGAGGACTGGAGCAGCGGGACGCCTGGTCCCGCTGCCCACCTCCTCCGGGGCGAGAAAAGCTGCTCCCCGTCTCGCTGGTCTGCTGTTCCAGATCAGCTGGAAGCACCGCGGGTCCGGCTGGGTCCTCCACGGCTTTGCTCAGCGTCTCCCTGGTCTGCAGAATGACAGACATTCAGAGAATGACATGAATGACAGTTCAGAGGATTCCCTTTCAAGTGCAGATGTAAAAGGTCTTTGTAGCAGAATGCAGGTGGTTAAGTCACTCGACTTAAGTAATTAAGTAATTCGACACTCTCCGGGAAGGAATGAACAAACACTCAAACTATCTTACCCATTACCAAGATAGCTTCCCCAATTATCACCTCTAATACCATTAGCTCACAGACATCCCACTCTCCCCACCTCTAATATCATCAATTCACAGACACTTACCTTCCTTCCTTCCCCTTCCCACCCCCCCGCATCCCCCTTCTGTTCTGCAATGTGATTTGTCCTTTTCATATTTGTTCATTTTTTTTAATTGTATCCTTTGGTATATATGGTTGTGACTATTTTCTTCCACTATTTGATCTGAGGAAGTGGGTCTGGCCCACGAAAGCTCATCATCTAATAAACCATCTTGTTAGTCTTTAAAGTGCTACATTGTCCTGCATTTTGCTTCAGCTACCCCAGACTAACACGGCTACATTTCTATCACTATTCTGCAGAGCTCAAGGCATTTCAAAGCAGTCTCCCATGCCTCAGAGAAACAGGTTTAATTTTTTTATAAACTTTTAAAAGTAATAAACAGGAAAACACTCTCGTCCAGGAGTTTTCGAACTTTCTCATATTATGGACCACTTCCCTGCCAGGGTCTGCTCCCCTTGGAATCTCCTAATCCCAACTGCACACCTTCCCTGGGGTTACGGTAACGCGTGGTTACCTGACAAGCATGAATAAGAAAAGAGTAAGGAGACAAAAGGGAAATGCAGCCATTTTAGTAGAACTGAATAGTAATAACTTTGGTTCATTTCCTCCCATTTTGTACACTGGGCTTTATTTCCTCTTCATGATGTACAGCTTAAAGACCAAAACATGCTCACCTCAGTCCAGGGGTCTCTAATTGCTGACCCACTGGCCATCTATGGCCCGAGCACTTCCTCAATCTGGCCCATGAAATATTTGAAAAAGTTATTTAATCAGACCTGTGTGGCTGCCAACCCAAGGACGGGGGTGGGGGGGTAGGTACAGGTGGGAACTCACCCTCACCCAGGCCCCCAGCACCCATATAGTCCCGGACATAGAGGGAACCACTCAGTCTGGGATGCCACGCTAGCTGCCTCCACTGTGATGTGAACTGCTCTGGCCAGGGAGCTGCCTGAGCTGATGCCCTTCTGCAAACAGCAGGGAAGGGTAGTTTGTTTTGCTTTTGGTTACCCTGGGTGGGGACCCCAGCACGAGGATGCAAATGTTAGTGCGGGGCAAGCAGGATCCTAGTCTGAGGACATGGATGTGGGATAGGGGAAAATCTCAGAGCAAGGACATGGGGGTGTCAGGGTGAGGACTCAGTTTCAGGTCTTTTGTGGGATCCTGGTCTCTTTCTCAGCTCCTGGACACGGGAGAAACTCATGAATCAGCCCCACCCCCGACCCTCCCAAAAGAGAATGGCTTCTTAAAATCACAGATAAAGTAAACTTGGGGAACTTTTTAAGAACATAAAAATAGTCATAGTGTGTCAGACCAAAAGTCCATCTAGTATCCGTCTTCTGACAGTGGCCAATGCCAAATGTCCCAGAAGGAGTGAACAGAACAAGAAATCATCATGTGATCCCTCTCCTGTCATACATTTCCAGACAAACAGAGGCTAGGGACGCCATTCATGAACCTAACCTCCATGAATTTATCTAGCTCTTTTTTGAACCCAGTTAAATTCCTGATCTTCACAACATACTCTAGCAAGGAGTTCCACAGGTTGACTGTGTGCTGCATGAAGAAAAACTTCCTTTTGTTTGTTTTAAACCTATTACCTATTGGTAGCATTAGGTGACCCCTAGTTCTTATAACTTTTCCTTATTCACTTTTCCCACACCAGTCATGATTTTATAGACCTCTATCATATCTATCATACCATTCATATTTATTTGGCATCTGGTGTTCGAGGTCTTTGGCTGAACACAAGGCACATTTTCTAGCTTTTCTCTACAAACCGTGAGACCTAAAGTCTTCCTTTAAAAAAAAAGGGGAGGGGAGAAAAGTGTGGTTGGGATTCTCTTCTAATACGAGGCACCAACAAACAAGCATAATCTACCAAATCAGAGTGATCACAGCTGACAGCCATGCACGAGGCATGAGGAAATGAAATTCCCAGATCTGGCTTAATTCTAACAACGTGGCTGGGGCTTCCCAGGAAAAAAAACAGTCCCAATTATCAGGAGGCTTGTGATCAAATCAGGAGAGTTGGTATCACTGATGTCTAGTCAGTTTCACAAAATGCGTTAGTAGTTTCACAGCTTTCCCCTACGGACGGGACAGCTCTGCAAACACCGCCCCTGGGCCACAGGGACGAGCTGGCAGCGGCATGGAGCTAGCAGTGGGAAGCTACTCTAGCCCCGCTCCACTGCCTGTGTGGGGTGAAGTGGGTTTTAAATTGCCTTGGGGTGGCAGGCTGGGCTGAGGGATGTATGGGTAGGGAGGTACAGAGACACCTCCCCCTCTCCCCATAGCCCTGCCAGAGTGGGGGTGCTCACTGGTCCACTAGGAGGATTTGAGGACTGACACTGACCCTAAGATAAATTGAGTTTGAGACCTTTGGCTTTGTTAGTAGCCCCATTGACTTTACTCAGGTCATACTTCATATCTAAATTGATCAGGAATTGGTCATAAGTATATGGCCTTGTATTTCTTTGTATTATATCTCCGACATATTGTACAGTTTTGTTTTGTCCTCCTAGGTGTTTTGCTTCAGATTTGGTGTTGCCCACTATCAGACCTAAGCTTACACACACACTTCCTTGACCCCCGACAGACACACAACACCTTCATGTAGTTTAGAGCAGGATTCATTTTGCTTCTCAAAAAAGCTCCCAGAAATTACTAAGAGCAAGCATTGCTGCTTAACAAGGGTTGGACAGCACTGTGATAGAAGAGCCTGTGGGCCACCTGGAAGAGCTGTACAAACTACTGCTTGAGGCACACTTGTAAATGTACTGTAGGAACAATACTGTATGGCAAAGCATTACAGACTAGTTCTTTCTCCTGTGTAATGTCTGCATAGGCAGTAAATTGACTGGGAGTCTTGTTAAAGGTTTTTGCTCTCATTTAAAAAGTTAAAATGAATGTAATTTCTTTAGCTTTGGTCCTCTGTATCATCTCTCTATGACAAATTAATGCAATGAATAGGCAAATATTTTGTAAGATTATTGCAGCTAGTAGGCATATTTTGTAAGAGTTTTAAAGAATTATCTATTAAAACTCTCAAGCATTTGCCATCGTTGACCCCCGGTATAACTATTGTAGTGAATGCAATTACAAGTCTGAATTTGTCTCAGTCAATGTAAGCATACAAACTTCAACCTATAATCTAACAAGTTACGATATTACATAACAATCCTAGAAAAAAAGGTGCTTTGCACGTTCTGCAAAGAAAGACTGAGGGTATGTCTACACTCCACGCTTATTTCGAAATAAGCTATTCCAGAATAGTTATTCCAAAATAGCTTATTTCAAAATAGAATGTCTACAGGAAAGCCTCAAAATTAGTCCGAGGGAGGCTCCCCTAATGTAGATGTGCTGTGTCAATTTAGAGCCCCTGGACGCACTGGGGAGGAATAACTTAGAATGGCCCTGGTGAAGAGCTATTTCAAAATAGCAGCAGTGGAGCATCCACACATGCCTTATTTCAAAATAGCTATTTCAGACTAGGCGTTATTCCTCATAGAATGAGGTTTACAGATTTTGGAATAAGCCGTCTGTTATTTGGAAATTATTTGGTAATGGTAGCCTAATCTACATGACTCTGGCGACAGAGGCATGTAGTCTAGACGTAGCCTAAGATCTTCTCTGAAGAGTATATGATGTAATAAATTCTAGGAACAAGCTTAATAGCTATGTGGAAACATCTCACATTAGTTTTCTACAGCTAGAACTGTGGAGTGATTTTTAACATTCACTCAGATAATGCCAGTTGCATTCATTTTCTTTCTTACCTTCCATAACTTCATGGGATTGAACTACTTTCTTTGGTTTCTTATTCTTTGAATTTTTTGATGACCGTTTAGCTGTTGTTTTGGTCACCAAAGGAGTTGTTCTGGTTGATGATGATTTCGTAGTAAGTGCTGAAGCCAAGAAAAATACAATGTGTTAATGGAAATTCCATTCTCATTCAGCATGAAGCATATTATCATTAACAAATGAAATGGAACAGCTGTGACACATTTCTACTATAAGTCTAATTTTGCTTCACTCCCTCTATTCCACTAAATTTTTGCAAAACACATGCACGCACACACACACTTTTAGACCGGAAGCTTCTCGTGCTTACTTTAAGACCAGAGAAAACTTTTTTTCTGAAAGATTGAGATCAACTAAACACTTTTTTTTTCATTAATGGGACTTAAGGGGAAACAAGGCTTTACTTTTTAAAATGTTGGTTCACTTTTATGTCCACTTACTCCAAGCTAAAAAAAAATGTCTTGAGCCGCAAACTTGGAAGCAAGGTCAGATCCAGGTATTAGGTTAGTCCTCTTAAGTTCTCTGTTGAGGCTAAATCAGGGTCTGGGTTCAGATATACTGTCACTGAAATCTCATGAGGTTTCACACACATGTTCATACCAGAACCGGAAAATAATTTGGGATCCAGTAGTCAGTCTAAACCGCAGGTGTGAATTTGGATCAGAGAGTGAGTCAGATAGCAAGGGTTTGGGTAAAGGTCAGCTGTCCAGCCATGGCAGAAGAAAGATAGAAGGCAATGGATGTGGTTTCACAAGGCTGCAACTTTATTCACTTAAAATATCTGGGAGCATCTGGCAATAAATTGTGCAGTTCAAATCATTAACCTTTTCTTAATTTCCACATAATCCTAATGTCATAACCTACTTCATCCCAATGGGCCCCAGACATGCTACCTGGGCCTGTCTGGCAAAGAGAGAAAAATTCCTTCCCAGCTCCCCCAGTAAAAGGCTAACTAGTGCAATGCACACAGGCTGTCAAGTGGGAGCCTTGTCCTTTTGTCAAATTCATGGGTGGGAGGGGTGGATGCTGCCAGCTCAGTCTTAGGGACTGCAGGGACCTGGCAGCCACTTCCTAGAGCCACATGGAACCTGCACAGGTAGAAGCCTGCAGTAGCCCAGGGCCTTGTTGTGCTGAAAACACCCAGAAAACACCCAGAAAAAAGAAACACATGGGAGCACTCTACTAACAATGTCTTGTGTGACGTATGAACAGTATAAGACCACTTTCTCCCTTGCACAAAATGAGACCTGGAAATGTGGGTTATGTTGGGATTAACATGGTACAATATGATATTAATTTGAAACTTCTGTAAGATATTACAGAAATCCATATTTGTTTCGTTAACTATTCTTAAGTAACCTTGCATGATTGGTTATAGGGAGACTGTATAGGGAGACTGAGCAGTGACAGCAGAGGAGGTATCTACCATTCCTATGGATTTCCTCCAATTTCAACATTGAATAGCAGATACACACCGAAGCTTTGCAGCAGAATATGGGCTCTTCCCTATTTTTTCCTTTGCTAAAGTACCTGGAGGTCCAAGATGCAACTGCCTTTTGTGGGGGATTAGGTGAAGTGAAGTTATTAGATAGTTTAGAAATTAGCAAATAATTAAATATTTTAAGCAGTAATTCTGCAGAAAAAATATAGTATTTTTAATCTAGTTCTTTCTGGTTTTGCCTTAGTAAGACAAGGTGTTATTTTAAGCTCTGAAAAGAATCAGACCTCAGCTTCAACTCTTGGGCTACGTCTAGACTTCAAGCTTCTCGCACAAGAAGCTTTTTGCAGAAGAGATCTTCCGCAAAAACTTCTTGTGCAAGAATGCGTCCACACTACAAAAGAACATCACAAAAGTGATGTATTTTTGCACAAGAGAGCATCCAGACTGCATGGATGCTCTCTTGCAAGAAAGCTCTGATTGCTATTCACAGAATGGCCACCAGGGCACCTGTACTTCTTTCAATAGGCTCTTTTTGCACAAAACTCCTGTTTTCCATCCTCACATACCTTTTTGCGCAAGAGCTCTTGACAAAAAGGAGTTATTCCTTGTAAAAAGAGGAATACCTGTACCGAAAAAGTCCTCTGTTCTGTTGATTCACTGTAAATTTACATGCTCAAAAACACGCTTGAGGTGTGGACACGCCATGGGTTTTTGCGCAAAAACAGCTGTTTTTGAGCAAAACCCCTGTAGTGTAGACGTAGCCTGAGAAAGCAGGAAGCAAAAAGGATCAGGAACCAAGATCAGTGGTGAAAATCAGTGTTATCTGGTATATACAACCTTCTTAGCAGTACAAATGGACAGAGGGAAATAGATATTTTGGCACTTGAAAAAGTACAAAAAAGGAAAACCAAAATGATTAGGGGTATGGAACAGTTGCCATATGAGGAGAGATTAATAAGACTGCGACTTTTCAGCCTGGAAAAGAGATAACTAAGGGGGGATATGATAAAAATCATGATTGGTGTGGAAAAAATGAATAAAGAAGAGTTATTTACACCTTCCCATAACACAAAAATGAGGGGTCACCAAATGAAATGAACAGATTGCAGGATTAAAACAAACAAAAGGAAGTATTTTTTCACACAGCACACAGTCAACCTGTGGAACTCCTTTCAAGAGGATGTTGTGAAGTTCTAGACTATAACAGTTAAAAAAAGCTAGATACATTCATGGAGGATAGGTCCATCAATGGCTACTAGCCAGATTGGCAGGAATGGTGTCCCATTCCCATTCCCATTCCCAGCTTCTGTTTATCAGAAGTTGGGAATAGGTGACAGGAGATGATCAATTGATGATTACCTGATCTGTTCATTCCGTCTAAGGCACCTGGTATTAACCACTTGAAGAAACAGAATACTGGTCTAGATAGACCAGTATGCCCATTCTTATGTTCTTATGAAATGTTCAAAATATTCATAGCCAGCAGTCTGGTAGTTCAGACCTTAAAACTCATATGATGTTCATGAGTTAGTACAACATTCCCAAGACTTTAATGGGATGTTTAAATTTCTTCACGCAAAGTTAAAAAAAAAAAACAAAAAAAGCAAACAAAGCTGAAAGATGCACTTGTCCAGATAACGATATAAATAAATCTGTAGAAACTGACTCCCATGTCTACATGCAGATACATATGTGTATTCATGCATAGACATCTAACATGCACTAACATGTATACTTCCGCATTGTTTAATAGTACAATTGTTATTTACTATCCCAACTACGATCAGGGCTCCAGGGTGGTAGGTGCTAGACATACACATAAAAAGAGAGAATCTTTTAATAAAGAGTTTATAATGTAGCTAGACAAAGATGGAGAAACACTGGTTCTTCTGCAATTGCTAGTCAGCAACATTCACTTTTTAAAGAGTAATATATTGTGACAGACCTAAGCCAGCAGCCTTCCACACTCTGGTGAAAGCAGAGATACAGGGCACTGAATAAGTGGCTTTCTCTTTCCAGTGTAAACTACTAGAGCAGGAGTGGCCAACAGCAGCAGAAGAAATGCGAAGAGCCACCTCAGAATTGTCAAGCAAAAAAAAGAAGGAGACTGCCCCTTTAAGGAGCAAGCGGGCTTAGGCTTTTTGGCTATATCAGGCTCCCATCGATGGCCACCATCTTGGGCATCTTTTTGAATTGCCGACCCGGTGAGCACAGGGAGGCTGGCGGCGGGGCATTTGAGGGGGCAGGAGTGGCTTCGTAAGCCACACTTTTGGGGGAAAGAGCCTCATGTGGCTCCTGAGCCGCGGGTTGGCCATGGCTGTACTAAGGCCGGCTGCAGTAAAATGAAGGCAGGAAAACACATGGGGCTAATTAGCTAGCTTGCTCCCTCAGGAAGTCACTCCACACCTGCAGCCAAGGAGAGGAAGACAAACAGTGAGGGACCTGCAGGAGAAAGGGAGGAACAAGAAGCTGTGTGTGAGCTGAGAGCTGGTTAACATGTACCAGAGGGAGACATTTTGGAGGGGATGTTTGGGGAAGTGGCCCAAAGAAAAAACTGCCAAGCCTGAAGGAAAACCAACCATGATTGCTGCTGCTATTTTAGGGTCCCTGGGCCAGAACCCGGAGTAGTGGGTCGGCCCAGGTTCCCCCCAAACCTTCCCCTGACACCAACACAGAGCCTGTCCCAAGAAGGGAGACCAGGACTATGAAGGGGTTTTCACCCCAAAACCATGGACTAGCCTGTGATGAGCATGGCTCACTAAGCTACGGACACTGCCTCCTGTAAAGAGAAAGGGGTTGTGTATAGGACCACTGCGCATGTCTGAGGCTAAAATGATCTGCCAGGAGCGCAAGACCCATGGAACACAGCCACAACTTTGCCACAGTATTTTAATACAATAATATACTTTTAGGTTACATCTATACTGCAGGCTTCTTGCGCAAGAACAGCTGTTCTTGCACAAAAACTTGCAGAGCATCTACACTGCATGTGTGTTCTTGCACAAGTGAATTTACAGTGAAGTGTTGGAACAGAGGGCTTCTTACACAAGAGATATTCCTCTCCTTGTGAAGGATATACCTTTTCGCACAAGAGCTCCCAGGGTTGGGGTCAGGCTCAGGGGACTAGAACACAACACCCTAGCCTCTAAGCCATGTGGGGACCCATTCTGCCCTGCTACTTTTAGGCTGCCCCTTATCCTGCATTCCCCTGCCGGACCCAGCTCCAGTTCTCTCCGTCCCGTCCTGGCATTGGGCTCAGGCTCCTCTTGCGCAAGAAAACCCTATGGCTAAAATGGCCATCAGAGCTTTCTTGTGCAAGAGCACATCCACACTGCCATGGATGCTCTTGCGCAAAAGCATCTCTCTTGTGCAAAATCACATGTCAGTGTGGACATGCAAACTCTTGTGCAAACCAGTTCTTGCAGAAGAAGTCTGCAGTGTAGATGTAGCCTTAGAGTTCCTTTCTCTTTTAAAAGTTTGTTATGAAATGAATACATACTTTGCCATCCAATTATTTGTGAACAAGCCAGCCAAAGGAAGAGAAGTCAAAAAGTTATGCCGCAAACTTTATTCACATGGGTGTACACACATGCGGCAGTACACACACCTCCCTACACAAAGACACAGACTTTTACATACATACAATGCATGCACATACTTGCCTACACAGAGATACTTATTCATGCGCTTTTCCAGAGGCAGCCTCAATCACCTATTTGGGAAGGTGGCTGGAATGGAAAAGATGGGGAGGGAAGAGGCTACAGATGAAAGCAGTGTGAAGGGCAGAGGGGGCAGTGAAGGCGAGAGGAGGGGCAGTAAGAGTATGAGGGTACAGGAGCATGAGGATTTGGGGGACAGATGTATAGGGACGTAATGGCAGTGCAGCAGTGTCTGGAGGTGAATGGATTACAGGGGGGATGGGGATAAGGGACATGGGAGGTGGCGAGTCTGGGTGGGAGAGAGGTGGAAGGGGTACAGTGGTGAGATTGGGACAAGGATAGATGGGATGAGGGAGGGGTGCAGTGATAGGATCTGCGGGGGTAGCCCCATTCCCAGTACTTGGAGATGGAGATACATTACTTCAGACTCCAGGGTGCTGGCAATTGGGCGACAGACAGACAGCGGTTCACTGCAGGGCACACACTGCAGCTTGAACCCTGCCATGGGAGGAGAAGAGGGCTGGGCAGCAGGGGAGACGTGTGCACCCGCCACATCACCCCTCAACAGCTGCCTGCTGAGCACGTACGAGTTGCACTAGTTCCTTTCCTGCCCTGACCCAGCCAATAGGATCTGTGCCTGTGGGCGGAGGGAGGGAGGGCTGTCGCTAGGATCTGAACCTGCTGTCTGCTTCCTGGCCAGGGAGCTGCACAGCACAGTGGTTAGCAGGGAGCCTGCCAGCCCCACTGCCCAGCACAATGGTGCCACCAACCAGAGACTCAATGGCCCAGTCAGCAGTGCTGACCAGAGACACCAGCATCCCTGTTTGACTGGACGTACCAGTCCAAACCCGGACACCTGGGCACTCTATTGTTAAACAAGTTTATCAGCAGTTAAGGACTGCCTGAAAAGATGAGCAGTTAGGAAACCTGAGAGGTAGCTCAGGGCAGTTAATTCAGAGAAGGCCAGTTCCAAGCACCTGTGTTCAAATAAAAGCAGGTTACCAGACCATTCCTTTAATCGCCCCCTCTTAGTTCCTGTTGATTGAGCTTTCCATACATGGGGTTCTGTTACTGAAAGGGAATGAGCCATTCTATTTTCACTGAACTTAATGGCAACCAACGTCCCTTTAATGGGAGCATTTTCAAGTACAAAATAGGTGGGGTTGCCAATCTGCTATAACACATAGGCAGCTACATCAAACATATAAAACACAGAAAACCGTTTATAAGGGAAGTACACTCACCTTCTTCACAATGTTTCTGATAGTCTGGACAGCATTTCCCATATTTTTCGCAGTCTGCATCACAATCACATTCTCTCCCTCTCACAAACGTTTCAAAGCACCGTCCCTTACAGGAGAGTTCTACACAAGGCAAAGCAAGACGTTCAGCGCTATTGCCTGTCTTTGGCTTGGATTGGCTTTGGTCTGTATTGGAACCCTTTTATAATGAAGTCATTCATTTTTGTTGTTATAAAGAGCAACTTCGTATAAGGAGCTAGTTGTTCTGAAGCCTATTTAAATCAATGTGAGGACTCCGCTTGCTTTCAGGGGATTGGCTGTCATGCTCTGTAACTGCAATTTGCACACTGTGGTGTACTGAAGCAATTTAGAATTTGCATTCTGCTTCACTACAAGCTGTTTCACTATCTCAGAATTCACTATAAAAAGGTTCCTTTGAAGAGGATTCCATCCCCCCCCTAGTCAGATGTGATGGCTCTGCAGTATGGGCCAGATGTTAAATATCTCAGAGGGCCTGAATTTAGAGTCAACAAAAATGTTATACTAGGCCAGATTTTCGAAGAAGCCCCACATTATTTGCATAAGCAATTATTTGCGTGGAGAAGATTAAAAATGTTAATTGAGTACAAAATTATTATTATTTATTATTATCTTATGACATAAGTATAATTAAATAATTCAAATTTAATTAATGCTGCCTATTCCTAATAATCCATTGGGGCTTAACTTTTAATAACCACTAAATTCCTTGCACTACATATTAAATAGTAAGGGTCAATTTATCTGCTTGCAAGAGTGTGCACAGCTCCCATTGATTTCAGAAAGTTATAGGAATTACCCATGTAAATGTTTGTCATATCTTAACACAGCCATTGACATTGTATAGTACGTGTGTAACAGATACATCTTGTGTATTTCAGCGGTCAGATTAGACCTGAAGTCACCAGAAGCTGAGAATACTCAGTACCACCCAGAACGGGGATCCAAATAAGCTGTCAGTTGGTAGTTACACTGGATGGCAGACAAGTAATGAACCCTCTCTGGGTCTGATCTCCTATTGAAGTTCGTCTGTGATTATGTGCAGGGATCAAAACCCTATTTTTCAATAAATATTTGTTGAGTGCTGCTAGGATCATTCATAGACAATTGGCAGCTTCTGACCTTACACTGATAGAAATTCAGTGTAGCCCAACTTATGTCAGGTTTAGCTCCTGATACGTACCAGTGTAAATGAGATCAGAAATAGGTCCTTAAATTACAGTGCTAAGAAAAATTGCATTCCTAATCATTACTCTGACATGCTACTAATGCCAAAATCACTCTGTCAGCTCAGTGGGATTACCTGCATGTTTAAAGTATCAGAGGGGTAGCCGTGTTAGTATGGATCTGCAAAAGCGATGAGGAGTCCTGTGGCACCTTAGAGACTAACAGATGTATTGGAGCATAAGCTTTTGTGGGCAAAGACCCACTTCATCAGATGCATCTGGCAAAGTGGGTCTTTGCCACGAAAGCTTACGCTCCAATACATCTGTTAGTCTATAAGGTGCCACAGGATTCCTCATCACTTCTGCATGTTTAAACGTAAGCACACGCTTGGTCAGGGCTAGGGTGCTCAGCACATAGAATACATAGCCACAAAGAGCCAGACTTGCCTGTCTACCACTAGAGACCTTTAAAAATCTGCCCCTTAGTAACTAAAGACCCTGTTGTATAATAAAGAGAATCTGCAACATTTCAGACCATCCTATCATTCAAGAGAATCAAAGAAATATTGAAATTGCTGAGCAGATTAAAATTTTGTCTTATTCAAATCAGGTTTACCTGAGCTATCAATACACTCCATGTAATAAATATGACTGGTTTAATCACAATACAAGTCCCTTCCATGGGGCTATTTGTGCAGTAAGGTACCAATTAGTAAAGGTGGTGTAATCAGGGTTTATGATTCTGTAATGATAGAGCTAAAAAATCTTACCCTAGAATGTTTTAGCCATTGTTTGAACTGCAATGAAAGTAGCATACCCTGGTTATCTGAAGGGGTTGTCTGCATTGTGCATTTAGTCCACACCAGAAGGTGAAATTGAGTGACATTCTAGTGCACACTAGCATGTTGCATAATAACTGGCTGATGTGGATCTTACTGGCATGCAAACAAATTTCCCGGTGCACGGTAACATAGTACTGTTTAAACAGACCTATATTAGTGTACATTAGTCCATACTTGTGCACCCATTCACACCCCTCTGGTGTAGCCTGAAACACTCTGTAGACAAAACTTAATCATAAAAATGAATATAAGGCATTGATACCTGACAATAAACCTAATTTGCCGAAATCCTTGTAAAAATACAGGCAGTCCCCGGGTTACGTACAAGATAGGGACTGTAGGTTTGTTCTTAAGTTGAATTTGTATGTAAGTCGGAACTGGTACATATTGTAGGGGAAACTCTAGCCAAACATTTCTCCAGAGCTCAGTTTTATTCTCCCACACCTCACTTCCCTCAGGCTTTATTCTCAAGCTGAGGTGTCTGCTGAGAAAAGCCGCTCCACCTCTCCCTGGTCTGCTGGGCGGGGGGGACACTAGCTTCGCGTCTCCCTGGTCTGCTGGGGGGAAGCAGCTAGTGCAGGGTTGCCTCACCCCGTTTGTAAGTAGGGATCCGATGTAAGTCGGATCCATGTAACCCCCTGTATATTTGCACTGTTCAGTGACATTTCAATTGCAGGAGACCTATTCAGAGTCTAATATTCATTCTGTTGTTTTCCCAATCAGTTTCCCACACAACATTTTCAACTACTTGGGCTCAGCATATGGAAACAGATGTGAGTTTTTAAGGTGGCAAATTTCAACTACTTTTTCCTTAGCAGTTGTAGGGCCATAGTGAGACGTCATCACATTTAAAAACAAGAAAACCTTAGTCAGTAGCAATTTTTGGCTTCAAAACTGATAGCAGAATCTGATCCAAAGTCCAATGAAGTCCGTGAAAGACTCCTGTTGACTTCGCTGGGCTTTAAATCAGGACCTCTGGTTCCATGGCTTTTAAAATGTTGCTTTAAAAGATTTTTTTTTTAAAGCAATGAACAGGATGGGCCCCAAATTGTAAGTAAATTATTCACCCCTTGTGTGCTGCTCTGCTTCTTTTCAAAGCAGGGCACTTTTCTTCATGGCAGCCTAATTATTGTACCTGTGAATATTGGACTTTTTGAAGTGGCGATTATCCGTGAAAAACATTCACTATTCAGACGCAATACAACATTTACGAGAAGGAAACAAGAGACAAAGTAAAGCGAAGGGGGGGGGGGGCAGGGGGGGTGAACCACAGGATAGAAACAGGGGACAAGTGCAACCCAGCAGCTTGCTCTGCACTGCCCCACCCCACCGTACCGCCCTCTCCCAGCCCACTGTACTCCACTTCACGGTGGCAGCAGGAAGCAGAGAGCCCTGGTCCCAACGTGCACCAATGCTGAGGGAAAGCTAAGTGCAGCAGCCTAGAAGAGGGAACAGGCAGTCGGGTTTCTCTATCAGGAGGGAGGCCAACCCCTGCTGTAGTCCCATGCCATGCTGCCTGGTAATCCCCTGACTGCAATGCCTGGAGGAAAGGGGCTTTGGTTAAGGAGGGTGGGGTAGAAGCAGGGTGAAGTGGGGACAGGGCCAGCGGGAAGGCGTGAACCAGAGGTGGGGCCTGTGATGAGGTTGGGCTGCCCTGGGCACTCAGCCTTGCAGCAGTGAGTACTTTGGAGCAGTGTTTCTCAACCTTTTTTTATAAAGTACTCCCAGTACCTACAGTTTTCAGACACACACATTTTTTTTCCTACACATTTGTTTAAACAATTTAATTGTAGCCGGGTGGGCAATCAAATTTTTGGGCATAAAAAGTACAAAAATAATGAAGCTCTGTAAAACTTAAAACAAAAATTCAGTTTTCTTCAAATTTCAGTTGTGTTGATGTACCCCCCGACTTCTCGTCATTGTAGAAACTCATGGGGTTTGACAACTTACCCTCTGTGCAGAATTTCTTGTAATCGTGGCAGCACTCCATGTAGTGTAGACAGCTATAATCACAATGGCAGGCAGCCTCTCTAGAATACCCTTCCCCACATCTCCCTGCACAGCTTGATAAATCTAAAATCACACAATACTAATTTTAAACAGTGCCAAACTAGAATGGTTTGTAAGGAAACAGTGAATGGCAAAGTAATAAGGTGGTTAATTTTTTTTTCTTTTAAGTATTTAATTTGCTTACTCATTATAAGCAAAACTGTGGACCCAATCCAACTCCTATTGAAATTTATGGGAGTCTTTTCATTGTCTACAATGGGCCAAGGATTGGGCCCTATATTAGGGAGTATAATAGCTGCATTATCCAGACTTCATAAGTAAAGGTTTCTACTATGGGATATTTTTAAAGTTTGATGTGGCTTCTAGGAGGCAGGTTTCTTCTTTCCAGTTAGACCAAAATATATCTACTGGAATATGCAAAAAAATGTCAAGAGTTGTTTCGCTTCCACTGAAATCAGTGGCAAAAGTCCCATTGATTGGGAGTTGGATTGGGCCCAAGACATGTTAATTTGTCTTTTATGCTTTGAATGAGGATTACTGCGAGCTAGAATGTGTAGCTGTGGGCAGACTATCACTGTGCATGAATTCATTCTCTGGGTTAGAGATGAGCCCAAGCTTGGAAATGCAGAGACATATTTCAAACAGGAAAGCTTAGAGGGATGATGTCTAAAGTTTTGGATTGGTATATTATGGAAATAGATAGGGGACAACTGGAGGTCTGCCTCCCCACTAACTAGGTTTGCAAACTGCAGCGGCCCTCATCCAGAGGGTGAACTGGAGATTGGTGTGGGATCATCTTTCGTACTGAATGAATCCGCTTTATGGTGAGTGATCAGCATATGTATCTGACCTGTCATCGCTTAGAAAAACAAGATTTGGTCAGTGTGGGTGAACTGACTGGTATGACTAATTTGACTGTTAATTTTGCCTCTTAATGATTACAACAATGTTTAAAGTGAATAGAAACAATCAAAATATTTTTCAAAAAATTAAACAACAAACTCCAGATGGAACACTGGGAGAGTGCAGTTCTGCTTTGAAAAGACCAGTGAATATGGCTGTGGGAGATGGGGTTTCTATTTTATTTGACTTCCAGAATAAAGTTGCTCCAATTACAAATAAAAGGTACCTTGGCTCTCAGTGAAACCTGCATTATCTCAATGATGGCTCTGTGTGTGATCACATAAGTGTAACTAAGGATCTGTCTGCACAGAAAAAAGCTGGGCAATAGGTTAGCTTATCTTGAGTCCAGCTAGTACAAGTAATAGTAACAGTGAAGGTAGCTCAACATGGGCTTCGGAGCAGGCTGGGGACCCAAGTATTTGCCCGATTCCTACTACCTATGCTGCACTGTATGCACTACTGGTGTCCCAGTCGTCCAGAGGATATACCCTAAATGCAGAATCGGAAGGCAATGTGCTATTGACAGCATACTTTGGGCTTGTTTAAAAAAATTATGTCTGTCCATTAGTGAATAGATCACAGTACCAAGAAATTCTATGGCAGAGCTACTGAACATGAGGCCCGTGGGCCGCCTGCGGCCTGTTTGTTTGTGGCCCGCAGTAGGTTTGGGTTTACTCAGGGCTCAACACTCAGCCTGTGGGTGGGATCCTTTGAACATGACCTCCACTGGGAACACACTCCATACTGGCGAGTCAATATAATGGTCTTCTGTTGATATTCGTTTTCGTAGTTAAATTCCTGGACTGTCATTGCTCATTAAAAGTGCTGTCAGATGGGTGGAAATAAGGTACGTTATTAATATCAGCAGAACTGACTTAAATGGAGCCTGGGTATTGTGTAGTCTTGACTTAATCTTTGTATTCGTGCCTGTCAGTGTGAAAGAAACTATTTGTATATATTTGCATATACATGCAACCACACTTAAGATGCAGCCCTCGGCATATGCTGTGAGTATCATTGTGGCCCCCAGGGCTTCCCAAGTTGAGTAGCCCTGTCCTATGGTATTGTTCTTACAGTCCCTTTTCAAAGCAAGACTGCACTTCAGTTGACATGCCTGATATCATTCTGAGATGGACTCACTCTCTGAAGTTTAGTGATAGAGATGTAGCCGTGTTAGTCTGATGTAGCTGAAACAAAATACAGGACTATGTAGCACTTTAAAGACTAACAAGATGGTTTATTAGATGATGAGCTTTCGTGGGCCAGACCCACTTCCTCAGATCAAATAATAACAGTGATAACTACAAACTCTATGTACTACCCAAAACAACTACAACACTAAGCTTATACAACAAGAAAAAATCAAATCATACATACCAATAGCATGCCCAGTGTGCCAGCATTATAAGAACTTTGGGTGCTAGGCCTTGTTGGCACTACTCCTGATATATCTCAGTAACCACTCAGACCCATAGCTAAGGGAAACATTATTTGACAGCACCTGATAGGAAAGGAAAAGGTTGCAAATGCCCTGGATACAGGGGCTTAAACAGTTACAGTTCACTAACAGCAAAGAAGTAAATATTTGGACCCCAGGGCGAGTCAAGTCTCTTTAGACCTAGTATTTGGAAAGCCCTCTCTATTTCAGTGATAGAGATGTAGCCGTGTTAGTCTGGTGTAGCTGGTTGTGACTATTTTCTTCCATTATTTGATCTGAGGAAGTGGGTCTGGCCCACGAAAGCTCATCATCTAATAAACCATCTTGTTAGTCTTTAAAGTGCTACATAGTCCTGTATTTTCTCTGAAGTTTAAAATTTAGGAATTGTTGGGTCCCAGTCCTGCTCATCAGGATAAAATACATTCTTTCCTTTTGTTCATGTGGATTCTTCATGTTCAGTGGGGTGACATTCATCTTACAGAGTGGCTTCAATGGAAGAAAAATATTCCAGGTTGCTGCAGTGCTGGGAGATCATGGATAATTAAAAATAGTGTGTGTGTGTGGGGGGGGGCTCTTTTGCATTTAGAAGTAAAAATCTACCTGACAGATAGAACTGTTTTATCAATGAAACCATCACAGCTTCTATCTGCAGTCAATGATCTTGTTCTGTTAGATCATACAATCATCTTGGAACAATTCCCCTAATAAATGAGAGCTACACTAGTGTACTAACAGCCTCCCCTTCAGGAACCAAAATATGCAAATGAAGCATCCTTAAATGCGAACGAAGAGACTGTACATTTAGTAAACAAGCTGAAAAAAAGACTCAAGACAGTGAGTTGAAATGTCAAGAAACAACAAGAAATAACACACAACACAGCACTGGAGACAAGGAAAAAAATTCAACAACATACAATGTACGTGTGTGTGTGTGTATCAGAGGAGATGGCATAAAAATAATAATTAAAACTGTGCAAGAGTTAGATCCCATCTTTGTTCGCTACCAGGTCTCTACATAGCTTGTTACACCACAATTCTCCCTCCATGTACGAGAGATGGCTGAGGGAAAAACATAGGTGAAATCTGGACTCAAGATGAAAAAAATTATGAACTATAGGATAAGTTATTTCTTTTTTTTTTTAAAGACACTTTTGGCTTAATACATTCTTTCCTGGCAGTAAGGTTCTGATCCTTGTTGATGTTAGTACAAAAATTCCCACTCACTTCAAAAGGAATTCCACTGGGCTCTAAGATCCTGTGTAGGTAAAATTTCACTCCTGCCTTGTGAGAGGAGAGCTGTTGAGAATGTTTTGTGTAACCACTATTCAACTATGTAATATCTGCTGCAATAGAAACCTACAGTATTTAAATTGCTTCCTAATTGCTTCCTGAATTTAAGAGAAATTCAAAGTAATTACAGTATTAGAGAAATTAATGCCACAAGAAAATTATCTGATAGTGCGTGACTGACTGACAAGGAAAGTATTTAGTTATCATATTATGTTACATGCCCTGTCCTGATTCTGATCAGTATTTTACCCATCCTTGCCAAATTAATCAGTGGTGTAATTCCAAGTATCCCATTGGATTATATCAACAGTGGATTTGACTATTGTTTAGAGGTTAATAGGATCTGCAGGCTATCTCCATAGAAAGAGAGCTGTAGATACACACACACTCACATAACATGTACATATACATTTTACATGACACTGAGATTTATAAATTACTCCACTTAAAAGGCCAATTTATATTAACAGATGTTTAAAAAGACTGTCAACTTTTGGCAAACTGAATCATGGTACCCATGTTGCTAAATCATTTAGTTGTAATTTAGTAGAATCTTAAATGATTCTTTCATTGCAAACACTTCTTATTTATATTAATTTATGTTTCCAAATATTCCAAACAACTTTGCTTCCATCGTGTGTTTTACAATACCTTCAGAAGAAACTTGCTGAATCAAAGATGCTGAAAATAACACCAGGGATATGTAATATATATTCCACAGCATGGTTATTTTTAGGTACTGCATTCTTCCTGAAAAGAAACAGTGTATTGAAGAAATACTCTGACCACTATATGAAATGTACATGGATGCTTTATTATCTATAATGAAAATCATGTAACAATTTAAACATCATTTAAAAATATTAAGAAACCTTGCTAATTCAGAATTATACCATGTATCTCCTCACAATAAGTTGATTATGCATTACATTTTGCAGAAAAAAAGATGTAAATAACATCATTCTTTAAAGCCTATTTCTGTAAATTATAGCAGTTCATAGAGTTATATTTTTGTAGAAGTCCCTAAATAGGAGGAATATAGTCAATTAGATACATTTATTTAATCTGCAAGCTAATTTCTAATGAGATATGGCTGGCAAAACTACTTATATTTTAAAAAATTGCTATCAAAACACAACTTGTCAAACAAATTAATCAGCAGATTGGGTAAAAAATAATCGAACAAATTGTTAATGTAGACATTTCATTATTGCTTAGAACAGTGGAGAAGTGGTTTTCAGCTTTATTTCGCTTGAACAAAATATTGTGAATAAAGAGTATTGTACTTACCCTCCAAAGGTTATGTCTGCTTTCAGGGATATTTTAGACGTTTTATATATTGCTGTAAATATACTGTGATGAACTAATTACCCAACATGTTGGGTTGTCTCTGTTGATTTTGTCTATGACAGCAAAGTTTCCAAAGCATTTGGAAAAGGTTCCAGATGACTAGAGTTAAGCAACATCTGGAGAACAAAAACTCCCTTTAAAATAATTACAAAAATAAATTAATTATATTTAGACTTATTAGGCAAAACGTAATTTTAATTTTATATTGAAATGAACAGATTATCTGGTAGGTATTAGATTATGTTGCACAGCAGTAGAAAATCATTGCAGAGAAACATTGACTCTATTTTCTTTCCTATCTTATCAAACAGTAGTTTTAAAGTTATGCACTACTATGTGCTATTAATACCAGCATTTCTTTTCACATTGTTTTAAAGAACAATTATAATACTATTAATACTTAATTCATATAGTACCAAATAATGGACCAAATTTAGCAGCTCACACTTGGAAATTGAAAAGGAATATTTTCCTGTGTAAGAACTAGACAAAAGCTGAAAGATTTGGTCCAAACTTTAATTTACACAATTCAGAACATGTGATTACTTTTAAGCATTAATTTAGACATTTAAATTACTCTGATAGTCAAGATATTTATCTATTTCATACTGAACAGATTCAGAACATTGGAGGATTACATGCAGATCCTTCTTTTTTAGAATTGAATTATGCTACAAGTGGGCTTCTTCAAACTTTTAATGGGGCCAGTTTAGTAAAAAATGCCCTGTTCCTGATTATACTTAAGCAGTATAGATCAGGAAAGAAAGCAGTTCTTTCCTGAATTATGGATAGATTTAAGCAGATTCTTAGAGCACGTCTATGGTATGCGGAAGATTGATGCAGCTGTGGTCGATCTTCTGGGGTTCGATTTTAGTGGGTCTAGTATAGACCCTCTAAATCGACTCAGAAAGTACCCTTGTTGTGGCTGGTACTCTTGCTTGTCATGAGTAGTAAGGGAAGCCAATGGGATTGTTCCCGTTGGCCTCCCACTGTGTGGACAGCGCAAAAGTGTGATTTAAAATACATCGACGCCAACATAGCTGGAATTGCGTATCTTACTTTGACCTGCCGCTGCAGTGTAGACCAGGCCTCAGCGTTCACCTCCCTTGGAGCCAATATGGCTTGTTCCAAATTTATTATTTGGTAACAATAAAACTGCTTTGAGATTAACGTAGTTTAATGACATGGGCAATAACCTCAAAACTTCCAGCCCTATATACATTTATAGCCATCTGCAATGTATAAAATAGAAAGCATACTTGCATCATATAAGTTTGTATTACAGTTTATAGAAGTATATTTGTCCAATATTCTGAGAACACCTAGAATACAGAGTTATGAGGGCCAGCGCCAGCCTTAGACAAGGGCAATCAAGGCTGTGTGTGTGTTCTCCACCTACTTGACTATAGGTCGTAGGGGTACCAAAAATATTTTCCACAAGGGTAGCAAAACACCTAGAGCCAAGCCAGAGTAGGATGGACATAAAAAATGGAAACCCTCCTATCTGAAAAAGAGTACTTTAAACAAAATATTATGAACAAAG